TTGTTTCTAAGCAGAATGGTCTAGTCATATGCCCAAAGAAGAGAAAAGTAGTTGTGCAACCTATTCGTGTATATCCTAAGGCATGCTATACATTTTTTATAAGCAGAATGGTCTAGCACCATGCCATATGTAAGTTGGGTATAAGGGATAAATCATCTGAGGGTTTAATGAATTATCTTATGTGAATGGACTTGGGGGATGGTGAGGGTACTTACCAATGTGGTTTGACCTTGCATATGACTGAGTGAGATTACTACTTACAACAGAAAAAATCACACGATAAATGAAAGTTGAAAAAACATTCCATAAAAAAAACAAATCCTTCACATTTGTAAATTATCATTCCAATGTTCGTCCAATTCTTAAATTTTCAGTTTTATTTGATAAGTTTTCATCTAAACATGAGTTTTCCCTTCCAACTACATTTATTTGTTCAAGATGGAATGGAAGTCTGGACGAGTTTATGAAATGTTTTAATTAAATTTTTATTTCACTACAACAAATATCTTCTAATTTAGATTGGATTAACCTATCAATGACTAAAAATCCTTCCTTAGAATGACAGTCCAATTAAAATATTTAATGAACTCATCCAGATTTTCATTCCATCTCTAGCATGCAGTCCAAATAAGAAGGGATACCCTATTCTCGGAATGAAAGTTTGCAAGTAAGATGAAAAATTTTAAAATTGGAATCAGGGTTGTCGACGTTCGGGACGGACCGAACGCCCGAACCCAAACGCCCGAACGTACGGGACCCCTTCGGAAGGTGTTCGGCCGTTCGAATCGAACGCGGGCAAAAAAAAAAAAAAAAAAAAAAAAAAAATCAAACAATTTTGAAAACAAAACATGTTATGGAGAGAACTAAACAAAACAACATTTGATTGGGCACTACATTCAAATTCTTTACCAAATTTGAATTAAAAATCAAATACAGAAAATAAACACTATGATAAAAATAAGAAAAAATAAAAAGAGAATTAAAATGAGTGAGTGTGGCAGCACCTTTTCGGCACCGCTATCTTTGCCGATTTTTAATTATTGTTTGGCATTGAAGAATGCCCTAAAAATTTACAGATATGTAGTTTACATAATCAATAACTCATTAAAAATTGTTCAAAAAATAATAAAAGTTTTTAGGCCCCGAAATAAAGTGAAAACCAAAAGTTAAAAGTGAAAAAAAAAAAAAAAATAGTGAGTGGGCGAGCACGTTTTGACACCCCCATCTTTGACGATTTTTAATGTTTTTTTGGGTTAGCAGAATAGCTTCAAAATTTATAGGCGTGTAGGTTACATCATAGAAAACTCACACAAAAACATTCAGAAAAAAAACTTATTTTTAGGCCCTAAAATAATTTTTTGGCGTGGGCCAAACCTGGAGGTGTTCGGCCCCCGAACGCCCGAACGTGCGGGGGCCAGCCCGGGGTCCCCCGAACGTTCGGTCAAGTAACCCTGATTGGAATAATATTTTTTTAAGATAAAATAAAAATTTAAAATTTAGACTGTAATTTTATTATAGAATAATTATTTAATTCTATGAAGTTTTTCCGTTGTAGTCTGAGTTTCAATTTGACAGGTAGTTGCTTTAGTTGCTCGCCACGTGCTAAAGTTATAGGAGTTAGTTCAATTTCTTGCATTTTCTAAGCTATTTTTTTCTACTCACGTCAATTCTTGCATTTTTTTTTATCATTTGTTATACTTGGCTTTGTATAAATCTAGGTAAGTTACTTTCCTTATGAGAAGCGCTGTCGAAATTTATTCAAATCCAATGAGTTAGTTAAATTTTTGACTTTTCAAAGTTCAATTTGTTTAAATTTTATATGTGATTTAGTAAAAAATATGGAAAGTCTCATTTTATAAAGGAACTGCTTAACAAAATTTTACTAATTCAGGGAACTAGACAAGATTGAACCTTGAGAAGTCAAATTTTATTTTAGATTCTGAATTTAGCTTTGTATAAATTTTGGAATAACACTTTTTCTTAAGGGAGTGTTGCCGAAGTTTTTACAAATTTAAGGAGTTAGTTAATTTTTGTCTTAATTAAACTCAAGTCTTGCGTTTGATTTCGTATCTGACTTAGTATAAGTCTGAGAATCTGTCTTTCTAAAGGAAGTATTAGCCAAATTTTTACTAATTCGGGGAATTCGATAAAATTTGACTTTCTAGAGTTGAAGATTATTTTAGTTTTTGTATTGGAGTTAGTATAAATTCTGAAAAGACACTTCTCCTACGGGAAGCGCTGCCGAAATTTTCTTAGTTTAAAGGAGTTAAATTATATTTTGACAGGTGACGATTCCAGCGATTCATCCTGAATAAGGGAGATTCTGTCAGGATCCACCTTTTCTTTGGGCAGTAACTTAAAAATGGATTTACACTTAGTTAGTAGGATACTTTTGAGTGAGAATATGTTATGGAGATTCATTCTCATATACTGATGGTTTAGCTTGGGGATTGGCATGTCCTGTGTTACAGGTCTTCTTGATTGATTCGATTCAAGATTTTGACTAGATTCAACTCGATCCCACAGAATCATCATCTGTTATCAGTGATAACAGGTCGGTTGCCGATTCGTCGGTTTACGACTCAACTCAAATCCACTCTTGTCACTCAACCTAAAGGCTTCAGCCCTGTGGTTTGAATTGTTTTGCTGTGTTTTTACCTGGACTTTATTGAATGGTCATTTAACAAAGATATTGAGTACTCTATTGCTGGAAGGGTGCACTAAGGTTGAGGCTTGTGTGGCTAAAGCAAGGGGTATGAGTGCAGGGAATGATTGAGGTTGACCCCATGTAGTGCATGACCTTTGGTTGAATCTTTGGTGTGATTGCAGGTACGTTTTATAGTTTGAACTCTGGATTTGACTGTCTGCGATTACACACATATACATGGTTGAAAGGAGTCTCACTGTGATTGTGAAAAGTGATGGTCGCATATTGCATACCCTTTTTATATATGTACCTACATATGTCTTGAGTGTTCGGGCGACCTATTGCGACCGTGCATAAGGGTTAAACAAATTATGCGTTGAGAGAAAATTAAAATCCTCTTTTATCCTTTGTTTTTCAGAGTTTCTATAGTTGAACGTTGTAGTCCGTGGCAGTCGTCAAAGTCAAACCTTTTGAGTTCTCTCCAGACCCTAGATGATGGAGTTGGTCTCCTGGACGATAAGAGACGACTGTCATCACAGATACGAACCTGTGTACCACTCACTCTCCGCAGGGTACAAAAGAGGGTGTGGTTCTCAACTGCACTTGGCGGTTGTCCATCGTCGAGAGATTAACCCCTCAAGGCGCATGTCAACCGACACTTGAGTGTCGAAGGAGACCCTTGAGATTAACGAGGAGCGCGTAATCATGGGTTTTACGTAGTACGCCATCATTGTGATTGCTTGCGTATGCTTGCATTGCGAGTCGATATGAGAAGGTCCAGCGCCCGGGTGGTTTATACTAAGTCTCATACGTGTCGCCTATCCGATTTCCGCGTCGGAAGGTTATGGGATGACTACTGAAGGGACTAGGATTGTTTGTGTTGTTTTGTTTTGTATTGTTCCGTGTGTGCATGTGTATGTTTAATTTTTATGTTTTAAGAGTGGTGTAACGCATGGTGAGTAGGATGTGTCTTAGTCGACCGACGACGATTCGCACTTTGGGACTTCAACCCCCCAATGTGTCAGTTCTCGTGCGGGTCCGATAGAGGTGTGAGACTGCGCGTACCCCCTATGCTACAGCGTATGAGAAACACCTTCAAGTTCATCTTGTCCACCTCTGTGATTGCAACTGATTAGCTTTCGTATTGTGGACTGGTAGTTCGGGGGGGATACGCCCACCGAAGGGAGGTGACAGCTCCCGCAGGCGGAGGTAAAGTTGTACCTCTCGTAAACCCTATCTTGTCGTAGGGGCTCGCGAGAGGTACGACTGGCGTATTCGGCCGGAGCGGCTTGTGAAAGCTCCATATGTATCGTGAGTAGACCAACTCCTGCGTGGCATGGCCAGAGGGTCTCGCCCTGCGTGGTACCGATGCGCTCGATAGTGTGCGTGTGGATGGTGTGATGACCATGTGCCAAACATACGACATTCAATGACCAATGCATATGACATGTGTGTTGTTGACAAATGAAAAGCGGCGTCCTTTTTTCCGACACAATACAAACATAACTCATCCATCACAATACATGGAACACTGAATAAGACGAACGCATGGCACACGAACACGACGAGTTACTCACACAATCACATGTACAACAAACATCAACATAAAGCACACATCACAAAGGTGGTCTTGCATGCATCATGATCGCACAAAGACCCCACAGATGCAATTACGAACACACCAAATTCCTGTCGTGGAAACTTCGAAAACTTTGTCATTGCATTAACAATCACAACATGTCTCTCTCTCTCTCTCTCTCTCTCTCTCTCTCTCTCTCTCTCTCTCTCTCTCTCTCTCTCTCTCTCTCTCTCTCTCTCTCTCCCCGACGACATCCATTACACAATATGAAGACACCACAATCCGGTATGTTGTAAAAAAACTCGCAACCTCGCTCGGGCGAGTGCACGTCAACACATCCCCCCTCCTCCACATGGGACGTCGACACCCCCGCCGTGTGCCACGAACCGCACAAGCACTGCGCCAGCAACCGACCAACACCCATTAACCACCGATTGCGTCCTTGGGCATGGCTCGACCGCCCCCGACGTACCCAACGATGCGACGTTCCCCATCCTCTTCGCGACGCCAACTGTTTTTCTCTACCTCGCCTCATCCTTGTCCCCGCCGGCTGTTTTGTCATCATCGTCTTCTGGGGGGGCAGTCCCCAACCATTCCAGCCTTTTCACGGCCATCGGCGATGGAAGAGTGGCGTCATGGCCGTAAGTGATCCCGCAGTCATCCCAATCCGGGATGTACATAGGCAGGTCCTTCAACGTCATGGCGGGTTTCCCCATCCTCTCTGTGACGACAGTGGCTGCCTTAATGATATGGCGACGAGCATCGAATGACTGATGCATGGTCACCGCAAGTGTCTGCTTCGTGGTGAGTTGGACGAACATGGATCATGCATCGAAATGGGAACGCAAATCATCCCCGCTCATCCTCATTAGCCACATTGACACCACGAGTAGAACCCTCATAGCCTCGACGATGTTCCTTAGCCTGTCGTAGGAGATGCACGAACCGTCAATCCCCTTGCCCAGACCGACAGCGCTAGTGAAGGCGCCCACCAGGTGCTGCAAGGTCGCCTCTTGATAGCATGCCAACTCGTCATCCTCGTGCCTGTTCTCGATGTGTACGTCGACGAACCAAACGTGGAGCTTCATGTCCATCTCCAGTGTGATGTGGTTGACAGCGGGGATGACACGCGTGCGCCTGTCCTCTCCAAGCCACATGATGCGGGCGATGTCCGCCGCCACGTGGTTCAGCATGTACCCATATGTGGAGTGGTAGCCCCGTGAGTGACTCGCGGACTTGAAGATCCATCCATGGATGACACATAAGGCGATGCTTTGCACTTTGATGGCCCGGTCTTTCGCCACCTTCAGCTGCAACTCGTCATCGATTTTGTGTTGCGGGATGCTTGAGTGAGGGAGGGCTATACTTCGATGGATCTCGGGAGTGGAGACTCCTCTGGCGATGGCCGGCAAATACAGTTGCGCTTCCTGGATCAGCTTGAAGAGTCCATTGCCCTCCGTCTCGTTCCAAAACCTGATGCCGTGCACCCACAGCTTCATCGCAGCTTCGATCACATCTCATGCATTCCCCCACCACTGCCTGTTCACCAAAGGCTCGTTGTCATCGCCATACCCACCGTCGCTCTGGAAGATCCCGCCACCGCACCGCCCCCCACGTCCACCACGTCTTGTTGCTGTGCACCTTGGACGCTTCCTTGCACCGCCACCTTTGCGGCCCGGGCCCTCCCGCTTCCGAAACTGTTTGGGCGCGTGGTGTGGTTGGGGGTGATGGCACCCACACAAAATCGTGCCCCTCAAGCGGCGCAGCCACATGTGTCCTCGCAATGATCCCCCAAGCGCGCGTTGTCTGCGGAGCTACCTTCACTTGGACGTCCCTCACCGCTTGACCAGCATCGACATCGATGACGGCATCAGCCTTGCGAACCCCCTCCCCGCCGCGGGGTTGGGGAACAGTTTGCAGTCGCGGCTCGCTAATTCGCAGCGCCCCTTATGCACGCATTGACGCTTGTCTGACGGTTTCCACTTCGGTGTCAGACACGAAGTCCTCGTCATTGTCGGCGCCATCGGAATCCCTAACCCATTCGTCATCCCTCGCGCCACTTCCCTTCGAAGGGCCCTCTGCAAGAGCCTTTTTGTTCTTCGCCACATGCCGTCCTTTCTTGACGGCCACAGGTGTGTCCCCTTCACAACTTGAACTGTCCCTCTTCTTGCCGCGATTACCGTTGCGTGACAACATGGTGAAAACGACGACAATGATAGCAGAGAGCGACGATGGTGCGAACTGCGCAATGGGTTGTCCTACGTAGCTGACGTGTCCGGAGCAGTGAAAGTGCTGAAAAAGGCCCGGATCATGGAGCCGTTCAGTCAACAGCACTGATCTACAGAGTTGCTGAACGCACCGATGGAAAACGCAGGGATGTGCATGGGATGCGGGTGTTGGATTCACGAAGCTAGCGGTACACGGCTGCCTTCGACGATGCGCGGAGTTCGGAGTTGTCACCGTAAAAGACGAGGACGGTAGATGGCTGCCTTCGATGATGCGCGGAGATCAGAGTTGTCGCCGTAGAACACACGGACGGTAAACGGTTGTCGTCGACGATGCGCAGTAGACGGCTTCCTTTCGACGTCCCGTATGGACTGGAAAGTTGTCACGGTAGAAGACGTGTGACGCCAGATATGCGAACTTCAAAGGTGTCACCATAAAAGACGCGGGCGTAAAAGGTGTCGCCGTGGAAGATGTGGACGACAGACGGGTGACAGGGCCTTGCGGAGACTTGTTCACGCAGATGGTAGAAGATACACTTGTGGGCGATGAAGCAAGACATGATGTGGCTGTGTAAAATTACCGAACAACGACAATCGATGTACGGCAAGGTTTTGACTTGGCAGCCGCAAGCTCAAAAACACGCAAAGTGCTCAGCAGGGGATGAATATCGGTGCTTATGAAAACTTTGTACTAAAAAATATCTCAAAAATATAGGATTATTAACCACCGTCACCTGCAGCCCCCCCACAATAACGGTCATGGTAAACAAAAACACAGACGGAGCCAAACACTCAGACTTCAGCCCTGCAACTCCCCTCCCCCCCCTCAGGCTACGGAGAGGCAAACAGGAAGACATGCTGATCAACGACGATGGAGGAGACCGACGGGAGGATTGTTGTTCATAGGTCGTCCACGTGGACAGACGACGATGCAAGTGGTGAAGGGCAGTCGATAAGTTTCACGGGCGATGTTGTGAATGGCATGAATCCCTTTTCTACCTCTCCCGTATAGCCTTCGTCATCGCCAAGAGTGCTTGGCACATGAGCTTGCTCACATCGTCCGACGCCTCGTAGTGCTTCTCTGCACCTCCACCTCCGCTTTCGAGTCCATAACTTTGTGTTGTCAAAGTTGAATGGAACACTGCCTCTTGTTAGCGCTCTCCATCATCGTCTCCATTAGCGTCCCGTGCTTCTCCGTGCACTCCGTCAGAGCTTTGAAAGTTTGTTGCCTAACGTTCTTCCTCTTGTCGAAACCGCCACTGTTGCCCGTCGCTGGTGAAGACCCTTTCGTGGAGCTCTCGTCTTCCTCGTTGCAGTCGGCACCCATGTCCCCATCGCCGGCAGATTCAGGCCCGCCTGAAAACACGGACGACAGTTGCATACCACCGGAACCGCTAGTGTCGGCTACATTCCTCGGATGTATGGTGTGACTCTTCGATGTGGAACCCTTGATCTCCTCATACACGGGCCGATCCATAGTGACATTGAAGCCATGAGTAAACCTCTCCTTCCCTATTAATTGAAAGAAGTCCTGTTTCCCGGACCCCCTCTTAAAACAGGTGCACCTTCCTGAGTTGTTACATCAAGTTGTCTCATTTTTTCCCGTACTTGTCGACTGTCCTCTCCAAGCCAACCTGCTTCAGCCTCTCTTGAACATTCGCACAGTTTCATTCCCTCAACTTCATGCGAGCGTATGCGTGTCCCATCCCCTGCAGATGCGCATCCTGGTCCCGCTTCGCCCTGATGAGGGTGACCATATGGTCGACTGGCCAGAAGTTTTGCCCAGCCTCGCCGTCCACGTCGCCTTCCCCCTCGCTCCCCCCAACCGCCCCCTTTTTTCCTCGTCACTCGTCGACGCAAAAGCCTTGCTCATCCTACATCGACCACCCATGGATTTCTGTCGGATCAGCCGAACATCGGTCGTCTAGTTCTCCTGTTGTTCGTCGTCCTTGGTGTCATCGTCGTAATCGTCGACATCCACTACCGTCGGCTCCTTCTCTGTCATCACCTTTCGCACGAGCAGTCGCTGGACCCCACGTGTAATGAACTCCTTACGTTCTCGGCGCACCTGTTGCTGATGTTCCGCCCACACCTACCTCCCGACCCGCTCACCAGGACCGCCCGCGAAATCTTCGTCCGTCGACACTCAGGCAGCCGTGCAGCTCCCCTTGTTGTCACCCCCTGACAACAGCGACGGTGGCTGCATCCAGTTTGGATGACCAACAACAACACGTGGTGCCGATGACACCAGCGACTACACTCTCGGACGCTCCCTTGTCTTGTCTGCTGCCACCCAATCTCCTCTCGAAGCCTTTGCAGATCGGCCAACTGCTGTCACTTGCCCCACGTCATCGTCGGGGTGGGGGTCGACGAGGATAGTGCGCGTGGTGGCCGATGAGCTCCCGCTACACAACCCGAATGAAAGATTCATGCCAACTGCAGTGTCGCTTTCGCGCATGCCAACAGTTTGGTGAAAGACAATCGAGACGTCGTCTCACGATTTCCATACAACTGGCTCCCCGCCCACTCCTGGGTGGAGCCGCTTCCCAGTACCACTGTACGTGATTGTGCTTCCTCCACCTTCTCATCTGACGTGTCGAGCAGAGGTTGTTTGTGCGGTGGCAGGTGCGCGTATGCAGACGGGTTGCACTGCATGTCGAGATACTGTGTGCTGGAGTCCTGTTCTTCGCCTGCTGCCCTTCCATGATGACGCCCTTCGTCACTGAACATCTCTTACGCGTTCGTGCAGGCAGTCTGCCGACGATGCACACATGGAAGACGACGACAAGGAGAAGTGTGATCACGACCAGGAACAACATTGGTAGTTTTCGGAAAACGTCGGCCATGAACGACATGTGGGGGAGGGCGGTAATTGCACCACGCCGGTACGGCTCCAGCAAACTGCGACGAAACGAGGACAGCAAACGGCAGATTGAAGAATTCAAGAAACACTGCTGCCATCTCTCGTGTCATGTAGCACAACTGGGAATAAAAAATGGGTCAGCTCAAATATTCGAATTTTTCGTCCGTTGGGCCCTTTTCCGTTTGGCGGCACGCACTGCAAGGGAGAACGGCGGTGGGTGACATCGGTGGGGGCCGGCAGGCCACCAACGGTTGCCGTTGGGGTACGGTTTTTGGAAGCCGAACGTTGAAGACTGATAATGTCCGTGCAGCGCCCGGTAGGAACTCCAATGGACCAGCCGACAATTTTTTTTTGCCAACGACGATTGTCCTCGCCGCTCCGATTATAGCGGATCCCTCACCTCCGAGGGACCTCGGGAGGTACCTTGGGGGAGGCCACAAAATGGCTGTAGCCCGAGGATGACCCAAGGATTTCCCGAGGAAATATTTTAACATTTTTTTTTTTTTTTTTCCCTCGAGGATAGGTGGAACGATGATTTCATCGGCGAATTTACGTGCCCGAGGAGTGTCTAATGAGCCCCCTAGATGAACATATAAAAAAAAAAAGCCAACCACACAAGCGAAGCCTAAAGTCCAGACTTTGCCAGGCCTGTTGTCTACAATATGGAACATGCCACCCGGATGGCTGTGTCCCTGCGTGGAACGCGATATAACACTTGAGATTGTCTATCCGATTTCTGACCACTGTCCGAGCAATTTTTCACATGGAGAATGAAACGTTTTTTTTTTTTTTTTTTTTTTTTTCCCAAAGCTGCCTTCTCCTCGTCCGGGGACAGCCATATGTTTTTCTCTCACCTCACATATCTTTTAACTGGCATTCTGCCATGTCATAGAACATATCTTTTTTTTCACTGATGCTCAACCTCACGCCCTGCGCTGCTTTCCGGTCGGAGTGTTTTGGGCTTGCGGAAGGGGGCACGGGGAAAAGCAGCAAAGATGGGGTGTGCCAAGGATTTTTGGAAAATTGAGTGCGGGGACACAGACATAACTGAAATCCCCCCGTGTTGATCCGACGGTAGAAAGAAGAAGGTCCGTCGTCGCGTGGGCTTTAAAGGAAAAGGCGCACGGGGGTCTTGCAACTATGGGAAGTTCAATTTAAAAAGTATCGTTGGACTTCCCAGCGAGCCGTCGCTCTTCGTTTCACGTGAAAGGGGGCGGGTACACACGTGGTATCCCGTTTTCGAATGAGGTATTGTCGGCGCTCGTTACACAACTCTGAGTCCTACGTGGAGGGCCTCAACCGGGTAGCCTTTTTTTTGTGCTCGTCCTCGCCACGTGCACGATAGTGGAATCCCTTGGCCTGGTAATGCTCGAAGCGACGACAATCGCTACACAGGGTGTTAGGCCAATGAGTCTTCACTGTCGTCCACGGGACGACGATCAGTTTGTTAAAGGGTAATAACAACGAATAGGGCGAAAACTGCGTATCGATGATAACAAAACCCGCACCGACGAATCCAGAACAGCGAGTTTCGGGAGGAAAGTAATAACGCCCTCCGATCTTGGCGGCAACTTCTCGTACGTCCCACTCGCATACACGTATACTTTTCTCGTTGTACGGAAAGGGGCGTGGCGGGGCCACGAGAAGTTGGCGCCCGGTCGGATTGGGGCCGCCAGTCCACATGGCAGCAAAGGTGAGCTCAAAACAGATCTCAATCATACATCATTCGTCTGGCACTCCAAGCAACCCGATCATTCAGTCGATCAACCAATCGTCCTATCAATCATGCTATAACAAACTTGCTCACACGACTCACCGCATGCACGTACCGAAGTGAGAGAGGCAAGGTTATCATAATTCATTCATTACGATATAACGAGACCGGAGAAAGGAGACAGAGAGAGAGTGTACGGACGCAGACCAAGAGGGACGAACGGGTAGAAAGCAATCACAAAGTATCGGGCAATCTTGTCCAGAGGAGTTCCAACTTAAAAGCCGAGCGATCGGAATTCACACTCAAAGATGCCAATTTTGGAACAAAAAGGAGGGAAACACTTCTGCCATAAAACTCCACCATAGTAGCCCCAGGCCATACACTCACTCACTTACGACTCGAACCTCAAATATCTCACTTGCACTGACGATCCCGATCGTCACGTCCCAACCCACCATCGCGATTGTCACCCCGCCGACTTAATCTTTGCACGGCCCTGCTCGGATCCCACAGTCCGTCAGGCGATCCAGCATGCCGCGTGCTAAAACTATAGCCAGCTCGTCGGGACTTTTCAACTCGCACCTTCCTTCATACCACCTAGCCACGACTTCCCGGAAGCGGGCTGATGAGTCGAGAGAGAGATTTTTGGGAGCGTTTGTGGAATTTATAGTTGTGGAAAGGAAGATAGATGCTAGGAAGGGTTAGGATTGAGACAGGGGGGAGTATGGAAAGATTCAGGGATTGCCCGACGAAAGCCATGTCGATCCTTTGAATCCCAGCTGCAGCCAATCAGAATCGTCGTGTATCAAGAATTTACTTCTTACACGGCGCGTCTCCTTGGCTAGGGGGAGTGAAAGGGGGTCGATAGGGTATTTCGGCGTGGGGATCAGAGTGGGAAGAAGAAGAGCGTCAAGAATAGCGTGAAACGGAACCAAGATTCTGACGATCAAGAAGGAAAGAAAAGGCACGCAAGGTTGAAAGAGAGATGGAAAACGGTTACAGAGAGAGGAGCGTGAGCGCGAAGAGGAGAGTGTCGAAGGCAGTGTGGGAAGCGGGGAGGGGAGGCTCGCATGAATGACGCCGATGCGGAGGCAAAAAGGACACCAAAACAGTTACAGCTAATTCAAATTGAAAAGTACCATATCCGCGCGGTAGAGCGAGCGGGGGAGAAAATCCTATACCTATTCAGATTCCTACGAAAATTCCCAGAGCTTCCCAAGACGAAGTTGAGAACATTCAAGCGCAAGAAAGGACACGTCAGATTCCGCTCATTCTGAAATTCCTAACCGTCGATCCAAATTCCTAGTGCGCTCGCTAAGGCGCGCGTAATTCCCATGTAATTCCCAAATTTGCAAAAGACAAAATTTGAAAAACTGATCCGAGGGTCCCACATATTACATTTATGAAATACAGAAAGAGGCCTTGTCGGGTTGTCACCCAAAATTCGACAAAAAAGGGGGGGGGGGGAGGAGACGGAAGATGGCGCAGGTCTGGGAGCTAGCGCGTCACATACCACTACTCCTAAGGCTATACAGGGAACACTGGCAAGCATAGCTTTCCACCTCTCTTCGGTGAAGGGAGGTCACCTCTCTCGGTGGAGAGGGGTAACGGCATGTTTGCCCCTTTGCCCTAGCGTTTAGGGTGCAGGCTTGGGGCCGCCGGTGGGGGCCCGGCTAACACAAGGACCAAGCATTTGCCAGTAACTGTGCCTCCCTTTTCATCTTCCCCCACCCCCATCAAGTATCAGTAGTGTCTAAAGCCAACACTCTCCCACACACCACATGCAACCCACTCACACACGAGTTGGCTGAAGACCTTACTGATACCGACTGGGAGGATGCGGCTGACTATCTCAGTTGGTTGGCACCAAGAGTGCTGCAGGCGGCCATGGGGATTGAACCCACGACCTCCTGAATGCCACTTGCGTGCCTAACCGAGCTAGGTCGCTGAGTTTGGAAAATGGATAGTAGTGGAGCTACGTCTGACTGTCCATTTTTGTATAGTGGATAGTATGGAGAATGGATAGTAGTGGAGCTACGTCCGACTGTCCATTTTTGTATAGTGGATAGTAGTGGAGCGAGGCCCAAATGCACCTGGTCCAGAAGGCATCGCCAGTTTTGTGTAGTGGAGCAAGTTTTTTTTCTTTCGTTGTCTTTTTCCTTTTTTTTTGTGCGGGCCATTTTAATCTTCTCTGTATCATTCCCAAAGGACTTTTTTGTTCGTTCGAAAAGGCCAACGAGAGTGAGGTATCATCATCAAACAGTTACACCGGGGCCAAGTCCCACTTGACCGGATTCTTCATTTCTGGCCATTGATTTTCATGATCTACGGCCATTTTAATCTTCTCTGTATCCTTCCCGAAGGACTTTTTTGTTTGTTTGAAAAGGCCAACGAGCCTGAGGTACGATCATCAAACAGTTACACCGGGCCCAAGTCCCACTTGTCCGGATTCTTCAATTCTGGCTGTTGATTTTCATGATCTACGGTCCGGAATGGAGGATCCCGGTAAGTGGGACTTTGCCTCCGTTGTACGGTACCAGTCAGCCACATGGGCCCTGGGTTCACCACCTTCTTTCCATATCTCCGACTTTGGGCCTAGTTGAACTACTCGCCATCCTCCTCAATTCGTGGCGGATGGGTGGAGGGTGAAAAAAAAAGAGAGTCATGTCGAACTGGAGGCCTGGTTGCACTTACCCGCCACAATATGTTGTCTGCCTGATCTCCACTCGTGAAGCAAGTCAACTCTCCACAAAGTCGCTTTGTGGAGAGGTCCCAGGACCACCACCCTCCACAAACCGCCTCGCCGTGCACAGGCGGGGAAACCCAAAACACTCTCCACAACTTGTGTCGACCGTCATTGGACTAAAAAAAACAAACCCTTGTGTCGACCGTGTGGCAAGCCGTCCGACACATTTTGCTTTCGCCAAGTTTGGCCAGTAAGTGCAACCAGGCGCCTACTCGCCAAACTTGAGTGCAACTACCGGTAGGTAGGCCCTTGTTTCGATTTTCGATTCGATCACACCACCCCACCGCCTTTTTTTTCGTATCAGACCACCTTCCCCGCGCTTTGTTTTAGTTCGATCACACCGGCCTTGGCTTATCTGGCCGGCGTCCGTCAAGCCTTGGGCCTCGCTCAGCCAGGCGCAGCGCAACGTTCAGACGCCGTGTTGCTCTCGGGCGGTCTCTCCGATGGCACGCATGTTTTGGCCGGTGACGATGAATTTCGTGCAGGCGAGCGAGGGCCCGCCTATGGAGAACCGCCTACCGTAGTGCTTCAGATGTAGAGAAGGGTGTGGCGTGGACGGTGGCGCTCTTCCTCATTTTCGGCCATTTAGCGTTGTGCTGTTTGCTGGTAGGTCGATGATCTTGGCACTGTCGTGTGAAGGGGTAGCACGACCAGGCACGGGCGGTGGGGGGGAATGGGGCGTCATTATCAGCGGCCGAACCAAGTAGAGGCCGGTGTTGGCCCACCTTCCCCCCCGCCCAAATGCTGCATGGAGGAGTGATCCTGATCCTGAGACTGAGAGTGAGATCGGGTTCCCTCCCGCCCAAATGCGGCATGCAGGAGTGAAGGTGAGGGTGAAAGTGAAAGTGAAAGTGAAAGTGAAAGTGAAAGTGAGAGTGAGATCGGGACTGGCATCGGACGAGACGAGCGCGCGAAGGAGCAAGAAGAGCAACGGCGGGAACAAAGTCATTGTCTATGTTGCTAACCTCATACGGGAGGATCATGCCTTTTCGTGAGTCATGCCCATGCACATCTGCCAATTCCCACTCTCCAATTCCTACTCCCACTACCATTCCCATCAAGCCCCTTGCTTCCTCCACCTCTCTTCCCTACCTACCCCCCACTGAGAATAAGGAGGCATCACGGGGGTTCGCGCTCCGCGGCTTAGGTCCGACTTTCCTGGGAGTTTGTCCATTTCTGATCTTCGATTTTGAAGATTGACTGCAAGATACGATGAATCTGGACAAGCGGGACCTCGCCCCGCCGACCCTCTCTGTGCTTTCTTCGTCTTCAAGTTTTTCCATTGTCATATCTTCCGCATTACCCCGCCTCTTTTTTTTTTTTCTTTTTTTTTTTTTCACCTCTTCGGCTTTCTCCTTCTGTGAGCTATCGAGAACAATTCTCAGGAGTGTATGCTCTGCTTCCTCACTTCTTTTTTTTTTAATAGGATTTGAACCTGTGACCTTCATCTTTACCAATCGAGTGAACGTCCAATCAAGTAATCGACGGGCAAATGGATTTACCAGATGGACTGACGCCGAACCGATTTTTCAACTCATTGCTTGGCGCAACGCTTGTGTGCTTATTTTTCAGTTTCGTTTTCTGACGCCTTTACATTACCCCACGGACCCCCATCTTCATCTCTTTCCTCTTGAACTCCTACTCTTCGTCTACCTCCTCTCCTCTTTCTACACCGTTCTCTTTTCCCTCCTCCTCCTCCTCCTGAGCGTTCCACGGATTGACAAGCGGTGGGACGGAACGGAGCTGATAGGAGTAAAGGACGGTGAAGGACGGAGTATCGCAAGCCACAGTCTTTGGAGTCATTTCACTGGTGATTCACTGGTGCCGTAGATCTGCCGCGAGATCCCGTGACCAGGTGCAAGAAGATCCGATCAGGATTCTCAATTGCGTGCGAGTTTCTTGGCGCTCGCCATAATTGGCGGGAACTTCAAGCGGGCTATAATTGGCGGGAACTTCAAGCGGGAAAGTTAAAGTGCGGATGATGGGCGGATCATGACGAGGGTGCATTGTTTTGGTGGTCGAGGGACTGGGGGTAGTCTCGGCCTTCGGCTACCCAGGGCACTCGTCGCACCACCTACCACCCTCGCTCTCCTCTCCCCCTCCCCACTCCTCTCCCCTCGCCGTCATCTCACCACCCACCCTTTGTTTTATTTCTTTCTCTACCCGCCTCTATCGTCAATGAAGGAAAATTTTTCCTATTGTCTCCTCCTTTCCTAATCGCCGTCTATATTTCCACCTCCATGTCCTTTTGTTTTTCAACCCTTCCGTATCTCACCTTTCCGGTTTCCGAGAGGCGTGTACTTCGCATGAGAGACGTGTTCGAGTAAAGGAGGGGGAGGAAAGAAGGGCGCAGCTCTCTATAAGTCTCAGTTCCCATCCCTTCCGGCTGGAAGAAAGGAAGGGGAGGAAAGAAGGATTGGAAGGGAGGAAAGGAGGAAAGAAGGGGGTGGCAGGAAGGGAGGGAGGGAGGGAGGAAAAAAGGGTGGGGAGGAAGGCAGGACGGAAAGGAGGTGTCGGAAGGAAGGGAGGGAGGAAAGAAGGGTGGGTAGGAAAGGGGGGAAGGAAAGTTGGGTGGGAAGGCAAGAGGGGGAGGAAAGTAGGGTGGGTAGGAAAGGGGGGGAGGAAAGTAGG